AGGCTTCCCTTCTGCCTGTGCTCGTGTTTATTTAGGGTAACGACAGCAGTCAGAGGGAAGAGTTTGTTCCTCCAGGTAACGTGTAACACGAACAGTAAAAATGATTGTGAATAACTCTCTCTGTCCTGTTTTGTAACCGGTGTTATTCTGCTGTGTAGATATCAACTGCCCGCTTAGAGAGGCCAGCAGCCAGAGAATTCCCAAGCTCAGTGTAAAGGTACAAGACAAAACTTGAACACTACGCACACATTCCTCATATCTGCTGCATTTATGAACACGTCCTTCAGCGACTCAGGCCATGTGATGAGAAAAGCAGCGTTAAAAAACCCAAAACGCAGCAGCTTAAAAGGCTGTGGCTCGTTGGTGTTTGACATTTTGTACAGTAAAAGCAGAAAGTGAGCGTTTTCCAAGGCGTTAATAAGATTCATATTGTATTTCAGGCCAGAGAGCACTGCCTGTACCTCCTGCAGGAGGCACTTCAAGGCCAGCAGGGGGCAGAAGATGCACTCAAGTACTTATCTAGATTCATTCAGATTTTTTTTTTTTTAAACATTTTTCCTCAAACATAAAAATACTGCAAAAAAAAAAAAAAAAATACATATAACTAACTTTTCTCAAAGTGTCGGCATTTGTCTCTCAGCTCTGACAGTCTGTCCTTGGCGGTGGATATTGAACACGAGGTCTTCAGAAACAGCAAGTCCTCTAACTTGTACAAAGCTGTGGTGCTAAAGAAGGTAAGTGCAGGCTTTTTGTTAATGTCTCATTGCCATATAGAGGGAAATGTTTATGCTTAGCTCTATTATTCTGTCAAGGTAACAGAGATGAAGAAAGCGGCACCTGCTTCAGCAGGTCGAGATAAAGCAGAAGGTGCTAGGAGCAGCAGCGGCAGCGATTCCAGAGAAACAGAACTCAAAGAGGCTGGATCCTCCTCTTCATCCTCGTTTTCTGATGAGCCGCAGGGGTTCACGCTGGCATCTGAGGTGTACTCGGTAACATTGCTTTTCTACTTTCCCAGATTTTTATTATTTTTTTTATTTTTTAAAGGAAAACTGGAGGTTTTTGTGGCTGCAGAGTATTCAGAGGAAAACATGTTTTCTTTCCCCCCCAGCTGAAGCGTAAGAGGGTAGGGGCAGGCCAACGGGGCTCTTCTAACCCCTTCATAACTGCTAAGGATTTAATAAACCCCTCCATGTTGGAAACAGGGGCTAACAAAGGTAGGACAAGCGGCGGATTTTTCAATGGCTACTCAGGAGAAACCATTATGCAGGGAAAAGAAGCCAACACAGATGCATCATCGCCCATCAAAGCCAAAGCAAATGCCGTCACGACCTCCCTGAGCAGCCCGACTAAAGGAGGCAGAGCCATGAGCAAGAAGCAGCAGAAGCTGGCGGAAGCAGCAAAGAGTTTCCACAACATTTCTCATTTTTTCATGAAGAAACATACTCCAGAGAAAAGCCAGGATGAGGAGGAGATGCCGAGGGAGCCCGAAGCCACTTTATCTCCCGCTCCAGCTTCCATCTCCCAGGAATACATCAACCAGGAACCACACTCACCTGCTGCGTCAGAAGGAGAGAGCAGTGCTGCACAGTCAGAGACTGAGGATGTGATCCTCGTAGAAAGCAAATCTGAGATAATTGTTATACCTGATGATGATGAGGAGGACGGAGCTGATATTGCAGAACCAGTTCAAGAGACATCTGAGCAGGACCTGACGTCCATCACAGAGTATTTGATTCTTAATTTGATCAGAAATAGCGGAAAAAAGCCTTTTATTGACTTTTAACTGCTTTTTCTTCCCCCTGTTCTCCCACAGACAAAACAAAGACGAAGAAGAACTTAAACCAAGTGAAGAAGAGGTTAACACAAGTGAAATTCCCGGGGTAGGTGTCTGTACACCCACAAAAGTCCTTCTTGAAACAAGTCTTTCCGCTCAGCAGTTTGAAGCTAGATGAAGTGCTCCAAAGGCTTTATAAGTTCGTCCAAAAATAAGACTTTTGGACAAATGTATAAAGACAAAATAAGACAAAGTAAAGTTTTAAGAGATTAGAGTTTGAGCATGATAATCTGTCTTACACTCAGATTGGGGTTTTTCCACAGGAAGTCAGTTGGCATACAATTTTAGCATTCACTGTATGGACAAAAGAACTGGGCCACCTACACATTCAGCAACTGCTCGAGCAACTCATGGAAACTCATGACATGAAGCTCCTGGCACACAGTTTCTGTGCTGATGTTAATGCCAGAGGTTTTGAGCTTGTCAGTTATTCAATCAGTGGAGCTTTAGCAACTTTTACGAAATACCAAATAGCGTGTTCGACAAAGCACCTGAAGTATGCAGGAGTGGGTCGAAATCTGTCACTCTTCAGTTTTCCTTATAATTTCCTGCATAGCTTCAGACAATATTGAATTATCAGTATAGAAAAACACATTTAGCCTCTTTCCACAATCCACACAATCTAAATCCAAAGTCTCGTTTTTGTTCAGCATAATTTCTCTTTTCTATAACGGACTGAGCATCAGCATGATGGGGATAGATATTAGTTTTAATAGAAAACTCCTCATTAAAGTCCATGTTGTAAAGAAGGGATGTCAAACTCATTTTACATCGTGGGCCACGTACAGATCACTTTGATCTTAAGTGGGCGGCCCAGTGAAACTCCTTTCTGATAGTGTAAAGATGTTTAGCCACACATTTAATCCCCTATATTTTTAAATATATCTGTTCTGTGAACCATCTGTAAAAATCATAAATTTCTCTAGTATGTTGTGAAGGAACAGTAACACTCTGTTATTTAATGGTTTATCTCTTACTTAGAGATATCTCTTAGGACCATGGGGGGAAAGCCATTAAACATATGAAAATACAGTTAAAATTCTAAAATTTATACCATCCTATACATTTTCCAAAGATATCCAGATTGGAGTCTTTGGCAGGCCAAACCATAGATTTCAGTTCTGCCTGGAGTCCTGAGTCTGACTTTATGCTTGTGAACAATCATGACATGTGTGTCCAGGTGACAGATGACATGAAAACCATGACGGAGTCTCCCCCTCCGGCGAAGCGCAGCCGGCCCGGGAATGAGAGCAGCAGGAGAGTAACCTTCAACCCCAACGTGCAGGAGAGAGCCCTGCACCCAGCCACTGACTCGCCCAAGCCTGTAACACTTAAGGAAGCAGCTGATATCGTGGTCCGCTACCTGGACCCTTTTTACACTCAGGGAAAGTTTGCCACAAAGGTGAGCGAGTGCTGTGTTTGTAAAAAAAAAAGTAGGTTTGCGATTAAAAGCAGAATGATTAAAATTCTTTCTTTATTTCGCAGGAGCTGTTTAAGTCTTTCGCTCGCTACCTGTCTCACCTTCTTACAGAGGGAAGGAGCAGGGGGAAAGGCCAAGGTAAAGGGTGCATGGGAAATTTCTAACTTGCAGTTTGCTTTGTGTGCTGGTCCTCTTTAACTCCAGCCTCTGGGTCCACAGTGAAAGCAGAGGCCAAGGCTCTCATCAAGAAGTTCTTCAGCAGCGTCCAGCGCTGTGAGAGCGAGGCAGACTGGAAGCACCTTAAGAGACCTCACAGCTGTAAAACCACAGCCAAAAGTGAATGAATGGGGGGAGGAAATATGTAGCCCTTCCTCTTTGACAGTGCCTAAACTTCTCCGGTTACGATGACCTCAGGCTTTGTCACAGATGCCTGCTGACGAGGTTTATGGTCCACTTGCTGCTATTTTGTTATTCTTTTAAAATGTTTTCCAGGATGGTTGCTGATACTGTAACTTGGGTTAATAAATAGTAAGCAATAAAACAGGGACAGTTTTGCAGCCTGAGAGATCAGACAGATGCATGTGTGAGACTGCAAACTGTGTGTAATTCACATGGTCTTATTACATCACAGTGCAGAGTTATGCAGACCCAGTGGTGCTTGGAGCAGGAAGCCAGCTGAGGTTTTTCACAGGCTTCTCATAGCAGGAAAAGCAGAGGTGTAATTATTGGCATTCAAACAACAGCGTGCGATTTTGAGCAAGCTGGTTTGGGGATCTTCCGATGTTGCCATACTGGAACATTTAATCCCTTCCCTTTTTGTCTGGGTTTTTTTTTTTGTGTGTGTGTGTGTGTGTGTGTGTGTGTGTGTGTGTGTGTGTGTGTGTGTGTGTGTGTGTGTGTGTGTGTGTGAGTGAGACAAGTAAAGGTGTGTCAGAAAGCTAAAATACTGGTTTGTTGTACAGTGTCTGCAGCTCTCTGTTCAGGAAACATTAAAAATGCTGTCACAGTTGTCCTCTGATAGCCGTCTGTCACGTTTAAGATGACATTCGTGGTTGGGTGGTGTTTAAAGATGGGGTCGTGAAGAGCAAAAAGACTTTGAAGCTGTTATTATTTTCTTTTTAATAAATTTTTTGTGCTATTAAAAAGGGAATAAATAAGCCATGATTTCCTTGTTGTTTCTCTGACATTAGAAAGTTCAAAGTAAGTCATTGAGATTTATTCTCTGGGGGGGGGGGGGGGGTGCGTGTGTAAGTCAATAGGGGAATAAAATGCACAAAACACATGTTTTAATGCTTCTGTTTCTGGCAGACTATCTTACTTGCTCTTAAATTTTATGTTTTTGTTTATTCGTCTTAAATACTGGAACCAGTTTTGTTTTTTTTTTTATTCATGCAATCTACTGTGAAACTGTCCAGCTTGAATTTTCCTGTATTTAAAAATATTCTGTCTCTCAGCAGGGGGAGAATCTGTGATGCAGGGCTTTTTCTTTTTCTTTTCATTTCCTAAAACATGGTTTCCAATGATGAAAGCATATAAAAGGCGACTGTATCAGTCCCCACAGTCGGGAAGAAACCAAAAGCAAAGATGGCCACTGAGGCCCAGCTGTGGGGAGTCCTGGTGGCCACAGTGGAGCCAATCTGTGCTGCAGATTGTTCACAATAAAGTCTGTGTCGAATACAAAGTACCAAACAGTGTGAGACGTCTCTTATTATTGTTGTTATTATTAACTGTACAGGAGACGTCCCTGGTGGGGACGCTGTCAAGTAAACGATGATGTCATCTTTAGTAGTGCTGCTTTCAGGAACTCCTGCTAACGTAGGACTCAAGAGCCTCCCACACTTTTTATGAGTAATGTCATTGCTTATGTTGGTAAATACACAGTAGTCAACATCATTTACGAAAAGGGTGTGTATATATTTTAATCTTCATGATTATGTGTTAATTTACCTACATTATAAAGAATCCGGCCCTTTTTGGCCACTTAAAATGTGTTTATAGTACCATTATGTTTTACTTGTTTCAATTTCCGCTGGCCCTTTTGGCCAGATCTCTCTTTTGTAAGCTTTGGATAGTGGCCGGATCAATCCAAATATCAATAGTATTGATACGAACGCTGATATTGGTATCGGCTCAATATCAATATTTGCAGTACTGCACAGTAAAATGGTCTGTTAAAAAAAGTCTATTAACCTCACTGATAGGGTAAAAACAGCACTGAATTCTTTAAGGGAACAGTAGAAGAAGAATCTCAAAAGACTAACGTTGCAAACAGCACTTTTCTCCCACAGCACATAAACGCAGCACCAGCAGCGCTCGGTTACTCGGTTGCCGCCAGGCTGCCAGTCTGCGTCCGCTGCTGCTGCTGCACATCAAAGCCTGATGAGACACCGAGGAGACGCTGTCAGCCTCCTCCAACCTGCTTCACGTCGAGGCCGCTCGGATGCGGGGTGCTTCATATCTGCGGACGCTTCGAGAAGAAAAAGGAGAAGGAGCAGGTGCACCGAAGTCCCCGCCGCCGAGGTTTCCTCTCTCTGAGTGATTTGGGGGGGGCTGTTGTTCGTTGTCACTTCCGGGCGAGCAGTCGGTACCACCGGCAGCTCACATCGCCGGCGGAGGAGGAGAAGAAGAGGAAGTTCGGCAGCATCGATGCTTCGCGCGGGGAGGATGGAGGAGTTTGTCACGGAGGAAGAGGAGCCGTGGTACGACCAGCGGGACCTGGAGCAAGGTAAGCCCACTCCTCCCAACCCCACCCCTTTTCTATTAGCAACCGCTGGCCCCCGGGTGTTCATGCATTTAGAGGTGGGTGGAAAACCGGGAGGAGGTTGCACCTCTTAAAGGCAACTCATGCACGAGTTGGAGCTGCCTGCCCTTCATCTCATCAATTACTCCGATCCTGTCAGCGGTGGTTCGGACAGCAGTCCTCCTGTCAGACTGACTGAATGTCTTCCTCTCATCTCAAGCTGTTTTTCTCTCTCAAATCCATCAGCCCACTTGCTGTGGAGCTGCATGACGTTATTTTGAGTGTATGTTCCTAACAAAAAGGTCAGCACAGTGTGTGCAACAAATCCCCAGAACTTTGTAGATTTTTGAATAAAATGAAAGAAGCAAAGAGCAGCAAAGGCAGCTCAGACTGTTTATTGTTGCTCCTCCTTGCTGCTGTGTGACCAGCCCTGCCAGAAAAATGGCTTTAAAAGGCTGCAGTTTCACTGAGAGTGCGTCTGAGGAGAGCTGTGCTCTGGAAAGCCTGCGTCCTCCTGCAGCAGCATCACCCCATCTCCTGATTACCTGCTGACCCAGAGAGCTAAAGCAGCTTTGTAGCGTCATTGTGCAGCATGCATGGAGAGGCAGGTGGATTTGACTCCCTGTGTGTGTGTCCATCATCAGAATTTCATCTCAGCATTATTCAGCATACAGACTAAAGTCATTAGCCCCCCCAACCCCACTCTGTCCCCATCCCGCAGGCTGATCTGATTAGGGAGCCCCAGACGAAGCCTCCTTAGTGGAGATCAGAGATTTGAGGCTTTTCGGGGTCAGACTGGAAGCGTAATTACCGTCAAGCTCTCACTGTGCCACACAAATACACTGTGTGCACTTTAGAGCCTGGCATCATTTTGTCCCAGAAATGATGCTGCGTTATGCAACTTTTCTGCTGCCTGATCTACTATTTGGTGACACCACCCCCCTCGCCTACCCACCCCCTACCTCTGTGTGGTTATTAGAATCAGGCAAACATGGAAAATGAGTCCTGGCAGATGGTGTGGTTAGTCCTGCAGCTTCATCTGACCTGTGAGGGGGGGCCTGTTGCATGAGGAGTTAGAGTTCAGTCCCTGTGATAAGGATGACTTTCTCAGCAAGGCCTCCTGCACAGAACTCAGAAGTTATATAACAGAAGACTCTCGGCACGTGCCCGCCACAGGGACAGAAGCGGCGCCGTGACTGTGAGGTGCCGTGCGAACTCTCCTCCAACGCCTCTTCCTCAGCTCATTAGCGCTCTCCGGTTCAGGCTGGAGTTTTGCTATCTCTTCTGTCTTGTTGAAGCATGTCCTTGCCTCCCCTCGCTGCGTTTTAGGCGACAGAGAGGATGCACAGCGTGCACAAATGGAGCTTGTTAAATATGTTAGATAAGGCAGAGGTGTTACATGCAAATGAGCCCAATCGGATCTAATCTTTTGGGTTTTACACCTGCAGAACTGCATGCATGCAGGCTTGTGTTTTTATCCTCTGCGTTGGGTTGAAAAAACACTCCATTCACTGCTCAGTAATGGATGTCAGTGCCTCTCTGTCTCCTCCCGTCCCTCCACTCCCCCATGTTTGTTATGAGCTCCAAGTATACAGAGCCAGCAGGATTCTCCTCCTCCTCCTCCTCTTCAGTCCAGCTTGTTTTTATCCACCAGAGGAGAATGAATAATGGATGCTTCACGCTGTGTCAGAAAATATCAGCAACTGTTAAGGTGTTGTCAGAGCTCAGGCTCCTGCTGTGCGCACAACTGCAGGCTTTTATCAGCATGATGTGAAGAGAAACCAATCTGCAAGACAACTATTGTGATCTTTAAAATAAATGCACGGTAATATTTGGTGCCTGTTCTCTTTATCTTGGTTTTCATTAAGTCATCCACAAACAAGCCTGAACAACTGGTTTTAGCCGTAAAGCCCTGAGAGCGAACTCTGCTTATGTCTGTCCTTCTCTCCCATCTCTCGTCAGACCTGCATTTGGCAGCGGAGCTCGGCAAGACCCTCCTGGAACGCAACAAAGAGCTGGAGGACTCTCTGCAGCAGATGTACATCAACAACGAGGAGCAAGTGCAAGAGATTGAGGTGTGCTACTCCTGGGCTGCTGCCTGTCTGTGTTCCTTTCCTACTCAGTTATGGTATAAAGTGAGGGGAAGAAATGGCAGAAAGCAGCACGAGTGTGTGAGAAGAAAAAAACACGTGCAGAATGCGTCAGCCTCTTCACAGCTCAAAATCTGCATGTGGTGTTAGCGACGAGGCTCACCGAGGGTAAAGTAAACACCTGATGAGAGCCTCTGAAAATGTATTCTCAGTCTTAGAGATAGACACACAAAGTCAACGTATCGAATTTTGGCGAAACCTGTATATAAACTCGCTAGCCACTATATTAGGAACACCTTACTAGTACTGAGTTTGTCCCCATTTTCCTTCTGCGCTGTCCTAATTTTTTGTGGTACAAATTTCAAGTCAAGTCAAGTGGCTCTATTGTTATTGCAACCATGTGCAGTGATATAGTACACAGTGAAACGTTCCTCCGAGGCCATGGTGCTACATATGACATATAACAGACAATCTACACAGCACTGCATAAAGTGCAATGTGCAAAAAAACAAAACAAAGACAGTGCAACACCAACCTGAACAGAACGATACAGACACAACACAGTGCATGCACAACAGGGCAATAGAAATGTGCAAAAGACTGAGCATTGTGCAAAAAGCCACTTGGTATATGAGGGTGTGTGTGTGTGTGTGTGTGTGTGTGTGTGTGTGTGTGTGTGTGTGTGTGTGTGTGTGTGTGTGTGTGTGTGTGTGTGTGTGTGAATCCAGTCACTGAGTGTTCGGGAGTCTGACAGCTCGGGATAAGAAACTGTTTCGCAGTCTAGCAGCGAGGGCCTGATTACTCCGGTATCTCTTGCCCGAAGGCAGCAGGGTGAAGAGTGTGTGTGGGGTGTGTGGGGTCCTCCACAATGCTGTTGGCTTTGCAAATGTACCAAAGTGAGGTGACTGTGGAGCCCATTTAAGTACACTGAACTCAGTGTCATGTTCAAGAAACCAGTTTGAAATGATTAGTTTTGTGACATGGTGTGCTGTCCTGCAGAAGGTGGATACACTGTGGTCATAAAGGGACAAGCATGGGCAACAACAATACTCTGGTGTCTGTGGTGTTTAAACTATACTCAGTGGGAACTTATTAGTGCAGTGTGCAATTTTGTGACCTTGTGTAATTTGTAGCCTCAATTTCTTGTTCTTAGTTGGCAGGAGTGACAGCTGGTGTGCTCTTCTGCTGCTGCAGTGTTCAGAGATGCTCTTCTGCTTACCTTGGTTTTAATAAGTTTGCTATAGTGGCCTATGCATTCACCTCTGACCTCTGACATCAACAAGGCATTTTCTCCCAGAGAACTGCCGCTCTTTGTTCTGACCATTCTCTGTAAACCTTTAAGTTAGATTATTAGATGTAGATTTTCCAGTGTTCTGGCTTAGATGTCTCACAGTTTTGACTGACACTACCCACGAGATGAACTTTTAACCCATATGAACCCCTGTGAACTGTAATTGTATAAACGTGTGTATTTGGGTTAGTTTGCATTCTTTAAAGTACTTCTACCCTGTGCTCCCAGGACCAGTCTGTTCTCCAGATGTAAACCATTAAGATCCTCTCATTTTAATTGCAAACATGTGTCTCTTGCAGTACCTGTCCAAGCAGCTGGAAATGTTGCGGGAGATGAACGAGCAGCACGCAAAGGTGTACGAACAGCTGGATGTGACGGCCAGAGAGCTGGAAATCACCAATGAGAAGCTGGTGCTGGAGAGCAAGGCGTCGCAGCAGAAAATAGACAGGTGACCCACAGCTGCTTTGAGCCCACGCTTTCACTATACGTGGTTGGCCTCTGTGGGAAAAGCAGCGAGCCTGATGTAACAGTCACTTCGTAATCAGCTGAAGAATGTGAGCCTTGCTGCACTGACAGACCACTCCCTCCACCTGAGCAGCTATAATCGGATTTAAATAATCAGGGATTACATTATGTTATGTTGGTTTGTAATGCTGAGTCATTCCAGCATTGAGATAAAGGTATGGTGTAATCAAAATGGAAAAAATCAGTGATCTGTGTGTGTGCATGCCTGCAGGTTAACCAGCACCATGGAGACCCTACAGAGCCAGGTGGACAGTCTCACAGCTCGGGTTGAGGAGCTGCGAACTTTGGAGGAGCTGAGAGTCCGCAGGGAGAAGAAGGAGCGTCGCAAGACCATCCACTCTTTCCCCTGCCTCAAGGAGCTCTGCACTGCTCCGAGGTCACTGAGCGTCAGGAAATGATTGGTGTCTTTGCTGTCTGTAACATAGAGCTAACAGTAACTGTAACATGTCCTTTGTATGCAAAAAAGTATTTCATTTCTTAGTTTTTTTGCATATTTGTCACTTTTTTCCAGATCATCAAACAAATACTAGACAAACATAACCTGAGTAAATGCAAAACATAGTGTTTAAATCATGATTTCATTTATTAAGCGAAAAAGGTATCCAAACCTACACGGCCCTGTGTGAAAAAGTAATTGTTCCTTAAAGCTAATAATCAGTCATTGTCAATGAGTCTTTCACATCTTTGTGAAGGAATTTGGACCCACTTTTCCTTTTTTTAAATTCAGCCACATTAGAGGTTTTTTAGCATAAGCGGCCTGTTTAAGCATATAAATCTGATTGAAGTCCAGGCTTGGCTCCAAAACTTTCACTGCTTGTTTCTTAGCCATTCAGAAGTGGACTTGTTGGTGTGCTTCAGGTCATCGTCCTGCTAGATAACCAACCCAGTGAGGCCTTGGTATGGCGAGTGAAACCGAACTTTTTTTCTTTCCAAAAGATGTTGTTAATCACAGTTAATTCCTGACTTAACAAGAGAGGCAGTTACTTTTCCACACAGTGCCAGATAGGCTTCAGTAGCTGTTTCCTTATAAATGATGAAGTCATCATCTAAAAACTGAATTCTGTATTTGTTCAGGTTATCTTGGTCTAGTATTAAAATTAGTTTGATGTAAAACAAAAAAACCAGAAGGACTTGAATGCTTTATCACTGGACTGTATTTATAGTGTGACTGTGCAGTGTTTGTACATGAAATTTGAATGAGATTGGCCACAAACGCAGCTCACTGAGTGTTTTTTTTCCTGTAAGGTATGAGGATGGTTTCCTGCTGGCCAATCCGGGTAGCGTGGACCTGGCCGAGCGACAGCCACTGGATGAGGAGAACGACCGTCTGAGAGACATCGTGTCGTCGCTGCACTCGGCCATGGCTGCAGAGCGGTCCAAGCGGGAGGGTGCAGAGAGGGAGTGTGCTGCTGTGCTGCAGGAGTTTGAGCGCCTGGAGCAGCGTCTCCTAGGAGCAGAAGGATGCCAGCTGCGGGTTCAGGAGTTGGAAGCTGAGCTCCAGGAGATGCAGCAGCTCAGGAAGTCCAGGGTGTGTCTGATTGGTGACATGGAAGACGGCCTAGAGAATCTGCTCAATAACGGCCCTGAGACTGACACTCCAGAGGAGAGCCCAGGGCAGGAGGATGGAGGCGAGGGAGGTGCTGGAGAGGCTGGGCAGCAAGGAGGACCGGTGAGAAAAAGCTGCAGCGACACAGCCCTGAACGCCATCTCAGCTCGTGACGCAACCGGTAGACGGCAGGGGAGCTACGCCCTCCACGCCAATGGCGTGCGCAAACGGGGCATGTCCATCCTGCGGGAGGTGGACGAACAGTACCACGCGCTGCTGGAGAAGTACGAGGAGCTGCTGGGGAAGTGCAGGCGTCACGAAGAGAGCCTGTGCCACGCAGGGGTGCAGACCTCGCGCCCCGTCTCCAGGGATCCCTCCATGAAGGAGTACAACATGGCCGCCGCGGGGCCTTCCACCTCCGGAGACGTCGTGATCGCCGCCGCCCCTCCTACACCCCCTCAGACTCCCTCCACCCCTGAAGCCCTGGAGGGGATCAGCAGGCAGGTGGAGCAGGTGGACAAACGGCTGAGCCAGAACACGCCAGAGTACAAGGCGCTGTTCAAGGAGATCTTCTCCCGACTGCAGAAGACAAAGAGCGACATGAACACGAGGAAGAGCAGAAAGACTAACAAGTGAGGCAGAAGCATTTCACTACATATCGTACTGTGTATGACTGTGTACGTGACAAATAAAATTTGAATTTGAATTTGATGAGATACTACAAACATCTCAGTTTACCAAACTGTTTAAAGGCTTCTCATTTAACCGTTTGGACACCCTTCACTGCTGTATCCTGTTTCACATGAAACTGCCAAAGGGATGGAATGCTTCTCCTGACTGTAACTGACAAACTATCTGAACGGAGGGTTTTGTTGTGACGTCGTTTGTAACTGATGCTAAAAAAAAAAAAAGATAAACACTGAAGCCAAATAACAGGCCAACTTTCAGAAGCTTTAAAACTTGCAGCATTTACAGCATGCATCTGGCTGATAACACAAAAAAAGCTAAATCTGTCTTTGAGAAACAGGAATCGCAAGCTTTTGAATGGCTCAATGAGCTTAAAGCTTTTTGAACTCACCGGATAGCACAAAAGTGTACCTCCTGAACAGGCAGCGATGCTTCTGCATCTTTTTCAGGGATTTATTTCATCATTTCCACACTGTGCTGTCACATGATCCAACTTGTTCCTGTAATAGGCTGTTTTAATGTTTCCTGTTGATTAAAATAACTACTGCATCAACCATGTTCTCCTTTTTTGTTTTTCTTTAAACCTCTGCCAAGGTGGTTTACATACATGTTTTTGTTACTGCTTGCATGTGTGCTGCCAGTCTGTCTGTAAATGCAACAGCTCGGAAAGTTTTGAATGAATTCTGATAAAACAGATCCATCAAGCTCAACTTTATGATTTATTAAAAATCAACAAAAAGCCTTGTAACTTAGAAACTACGATTCTTAACATGTACAAAGTAGCCTGTAAAGATTTCTAACGTGTCACATTTGACCTCTGACCTCTCCTTCAAGGGCAGTAGATGATCCAAAAGTCAAAGTGATAATACTATTAGCCGATTTTTTTCTTACTGCCATTATTTGCATCGACAGCATATCCCCAATGATATATGAGGATTGTAAATATCATGGTACTTTGGACCTCTGACCTCTTCTTCGAGGTCAAACTTTTAAAAATAAGACATGTTAAGAAACCCTGCTTAAAACTCTGCTGCCTTTGTTTGTACAGTGGGGCAAAAAAGTATTTAGTCAGCCACCGATTGTGCAAGTTCCCCCACCTAAAATGATGACAGAGGTCAGTAATTTGCACCAGAGGTACACTTCAACTGTGAGAGACAGAATGTGGAAAAGAAAAATCCATGAATCCACATGGTAGGATTTGTAAAGAATTTATTGGTAAATCAGGGTGGAAAATAAGTATTTGGTCAATAACAAAAATACAACTCAATACTTTGTAACATAACCTTTGTTGGCAATAACAGAGGTCAAACGTTTACTATAGGTCTTTACCAGGTTTGCACACACAGTAGCTGGTATTTTGGCCCATTCCTCCATGCAGATCTTCTCGAGAGCAGTGATGTTTTGGGGCTGTCGCCGAGCAACACGGACTTTCAACTCCCGCCACAGATTTCTATGGGGTTGAGGTCTGGAGACTGGCTAGGCCACTCCAGGACTTTCAAATGCTTCTTACGGAGCCACTCCTTTGTTGCCCGGGCGGTGTGTTTTGGATCATTGTCATGTTGGAAGACCCAGCCTCGTTTCATCTTCAAAGTTCTCACTGATGGAAGGAGGTTTTGGCTCAAAATCTCACGATACATGGCCCCATTCATTCGGTCCTTAACACGGATCAGTCGTCCTGTCCCCTTGGCAGAAAAACAGCCCCATAGCATGATGTTTCCACCCCCATGCTTCACAGTAGGTATGGTGTTCTTGGGATGCGACTCAGTATTCTTCTTCCTCCAAACACGACGAGTTGAGTTTATACCAAAAAGTTCTACTTTGGTTTCATCTGACCACATGACATTCTCCCAATCCTCTGCTGTATCATCCATGTGCTCTCTGGCAAACTTCAGACGGGCCTGGACATGCGCTGGCTTCAGCAGCGGAACACGTCTGGCACCGGAGTTTGGAGTCTGACTGTTTGAGGCTGTGGACAGGTGTCTTTTATACAGATGATGAGTTCAAACAGGTGCCATTCATACAGGTAACGAGTGGGGGACAGAAAAGCTTCTTACAGAAGACGTTACAGGTCTGTGAGAGCCAGAGATTTTCCTTGTTTGAGGTGACCAAATACTTATTTTCTACCCTAATTTACGAATAAATTCTTTACAAATCCTACCATGTGAATTCATGGATTTTTTTTTCACATTCTGTCTCTGACAGTTGAAGTGTACCTCTGGTGCAAATTACTGACCTCTGTCATCATTTTAGGTGGGGGAACTTGCACAATCGGTGGCTGACTAAATACTTTTTTGCCCCACTGTACTGCTAACATTTAGGAATGATACTGGTAAACAGGGACTCTAAATAACACAATTTGTATACAAATATGTCTCGTTTGACCTATGACCTCACTTTGGCATTTTACATCTGCCTCTCTTTCAGCTTGAGCCCAACATCTGTTAGATTCTTAAAGAAAGTACTGTCAAGACAAATAATGAATCCACATAAATAATTAGTAATTATTCTCAGGATGATGTAATTACAAAAGCCTGCCCTAGGCACTTGTTTTTACTGCACTACAAACCTCTTAAAGTACATTTACAAAGAACAAAGACAACAAAGTGAATATATACAAAATGCAGCACTATTACCTTTCAAGTAAATACTGCCCAGAGAGCGAGTTTCTTGGCAGAGGTTTGAGCTCTGAGTGCTTCTTTGTTTTGCTAATAGTTGCAAAAGTGCTCATGAAGGAAGTTTGTTTGGTAATAACCCTGAATAAAACACGACACACACACACACACACACCCAGTCTGAACACTTTAATGTGAACACAGATCAGTAAACTGTAGGGTAATACAAATAGCACACATCGAGTCTCACTCAACCCACAGAGGAAAAACATCAGTCCACGGCACGAGAGCTGAACGAAGCTTGACGGGCTTCACTCGGATACTTATGGAGTGTATTAAAAAAAAAAAAAAAAAAAAAAAAAAAAAGGAAAAACACTTTCATATGGCAGGATGTGTTAACCATCAGTGTCTGGTTAAAGGACTCGCGTCTCTATTCTGGTTCATAAGTCAATTATAGACGATTCTGAGCTCTGTCGAGTCAGCAGAGGCGGCGCGTGGCCGGTCGGGAGAGTCTGGAGGCACAGTCAGCAGTGGTAATCTTTAACTTGAGCAATACGAGGTGAGCGGTTTAACAGTTTTCTGCGGTGTTCGGTTCAATAGGGAACTGAGGTAACGCGCTAGAATTGATGTCCTCAGGAACATAAGAGGAGACTGGGTGATATAAAGCCATTAGTACAACCCGGACTCTTAGATTTAGAGTTCATTTATTAGATTTGAAGAAACCTACAAAGTACTGAAATGAAGGTGTTGGTGAATAAAGCTGATATGATTGACACCCTGAAACAAGGAGACTAGCATGTCCTCAGTCCTGATTCCCTGTCAATGTAATACAAAATCTGTTAAAACAGGCTCACACGATGGTCTGGCAAATATAATATTTAATAGTAAGAAGGCAACTGGCTCAACTAGGCTGTCTATTTTTTTTTTTTTTTTATTTACTTGTTAAGGCCACGCGGCTGCTAAAAAACAAAATAAAACCTGCCAAAATACCCTGATCAGGAAAAAAATAAAAAAAAGAACAAACAGCCACAGCTAAAGCGAGGGAATGCAAGGGGGTTAGAGGTAACTGCTTTCCCTCTTCTCTCAGCAGAATTTGCTGGCTGTTCGACTATCTGGAAAAAAGAAGTGGCCTGAATTCCAAATAATTTAACAAGACCCAACTACAAATAATCTGCTCAAAGGCTTTAGGCGGGCTGTGTCCAAGATTTGTGTCCAGCAATTACTGCTCAGTGACCGTACAGCGATCGTGTGCACGCAGCACTTTAGCTTCCTGTACAATTCTTTCCAAGGCAGATCGTGGTAATCGTACAAAACAATGTGAAAAAGAGAGAAAAGAAAGGAAGGAAAAAAGTGATAGGAATCAAATTTGCTTGTTAACAGATGCTTTTTTTTTTTTTTTTCCTTTTTTATAAACAAACTGTAACCAAAAATCTGGATAATGAACACCATTTACTTTCTCCGGGTTTTTTTTAAGATGTCATTCTTGTAATAAAGGCTGGTGCAAACAAAAATCAATCAGCGTTGCTATGGGAGGAATGATGAAGTGATTGGAATTTAGAAGAAAAGGAAAATAGATGGAACCGCAGGAGAGGAGTGAGCAAGCTGATGGACGGAGAGAGCAAAAGACTGAAACAATCCAATATCCAGGGGGAGGTGGGAATGATGGCAAGAAAAAAAGAAAAGCGGAAACAAAGCAGAGGAAGACATTGGTGGACCAGCGAGCGAGTGTGGGAAGGGGGGAAAAAAAAATCAAAAAAATCAGTCCTTCCAATCCTTCTTGATAGCGAGGCTCCATTCCCAAGACAGGTGATCGTTTTTGTCGTCATCGGTGAACTTGGACTTGATATGGTAGGTGCCGCGGGCCAGCATCCCTTTTGGGGCTTCCTCCATTGTGGTGAGGAACTCGTAGTCCTCGTTTGGTCTGGGGCCGTAGCTGCCCACCATGTAATCAGACTTGTCAACTGCACATCACAGAGGGAAAGAAAAAGGAGAACTTTAGGATCAAGAGGCAGACTCACTAGTTTTTATTTTGTTTTGCCTTTTGTTTTTAAGTCAGTTTAGCTCCAGCATGGATTTTTATCATATGAAAATGGTTATAGTTTTAGTTTCATTGTTTTTTAATAATTACTGTATGGTGACCATGTATGAGAGGCAAGGTTTAGGAAAATCAGTACAGCTTTATAAAAAAAAAACAAAACAAAAAAAAAACAGCAGAGTGAGATGATTTGAGCAGGCTCACCTTTAACTCCTTTCCTGAAAGTTTGCTGCATGTACTTCAGGCCTGACACGATCTCTTTGTTGACCTGCAGAAGGCAACAAGAGTTAAATTCCTCTGAAAAGCCTCTGACGATAATGATAGTGCTCTGCAGACTGCAGTTACATCTCCAGCAGTGCTGTAACAACAACACTGCGACGTAAACAGAGCGCAGTGGCGAGTGTGACAAACACCAGACTCTCACCTTGAAGCAGATCTTTATTCTGTACTCAACTCCCTCCTTCATCGGAAACGGGTTCTTCCTGAAGCCTTCCAGGTCCCCTGGCAGAAAGCAACACAGCAGGGACAGAAGAGTCAGATTCTTTCCACTTTGACAATAAATAAATAAATAAATAAATAAATATATATATAGCAGGCTGATAAACAGTTCCCGTGGATTTTGGGGTTTCAACACCCTGTAGTAAGAATAATGACCACCAGGGGGAACAATGTCACAAGTGAGCCTCTGCTCTGCTGGAGGGGGCTGAAGTTTCAGGAAATGGCTCATTAACGCGGACACATAGGAATCAAGTCGACACCGATTAGTGAACTAATGACCCAGCAGGCCTATGACCCCCACCACACACACACACACACACACACACACACACACACACACACACACACACACACACACACACACACACACACCAATGAGACTTGTATGCCAGCCTCACTTCTGCTCAC